GCTTGCATACAATTGTGTCATTCAAATCTAAACAAATGCACTAAAATCTCTGCAAATGCTGATGAGAGATGCAATAACCCCTCTGCAAATATATCAGAAGAAGTTGTATTAACTGGACGCATATACAAGCAGTTATCCAACAATTACACTCTTCCCTCGCAAGCTCGCAAGCAGAAGGGATAGAGGGGCATTGAGTGGAAACTCACTAGCCAATATGCATGAGAAAGTTGGCGATAAATGTAACTCAGCCGACATCTAACATCAAACTATATATGAATGCACTGACTTGAATGTAAGCAATGACAAACATATCATCAACAAACAAGGACTAATGAATGCATACAATAGTACTCCTACAAACACCTACAAGGCTACAAGCAGTTGTGATAGATGCACTGTAAGTATGGTGGATCCCCTATGAACATAGATGCGCATGCAATGTGATAATTGACAAGCAAGAACAAAAGAGCTGCAATGAATGCGAGCACCTGCAGACAATGACAATTGGTATGCAAGGAGAGTGGTAATTTTCTCACAAAAATGCACAATGCAATATGCAATGAATATGACAAAGCCCCTATAGATCCTGATAAGGGGTTGCAACAAATAAAATGGCTTGCACACAAAAAATGTCATTTCACTGCAAATGAATACATCAACATACCTACAATGATACAGATGCTGCAAGTATTGTAAACCTCCTATAAACATAGATGTGTGCCCGTTCTACCGGAGCTGAATGCTTTGCTGATCAAGTACAACTAAGTTTTCTAATTGACAAATTCAGAAACTTTGATAGTGACAGTTGGGATAAAGATTCGGTGTAAGAAGAAATCCCGCCGACGTATTATCAAGGGAAGGCCCTAATAGTGGCACTAAACATGCGAAGTTGATTGATTCTATGAATGATTCTGTAGAATCAAAGAATGAGCAGTTGAAGAAAAAAAATCTCATTTTATCATCCCTCCAGAAATATTGAGGTTTCTGGAAAAAGAGTCGTACTATTTGAATAAAGCGACAAATGACCTATAGCGTTACGTCACGCCACTGGATCTACAACACTCGTATAACCAGATAGAAGGCGTCCACAAGATGCTACGCCATGCCACTGGATCTACAACACTCGTAAAGGCAGACAAAAGACGTCCACAAGCTGCAACACCGTGCCAGTAGATCTGCAATACTCATGCAAGCAGACAAAAAGACAACTACAAGCTTCCAACATAATGCTGCTCACACTAAAATGAATTACTTGCATGGCTGATCGATGTCAAATATTTAAAATGCCTTCTCGCACGCATTGCAACATGTAGAGCTTATCAAGTGAACATGCAAGCTCTCGTGCAATGCGTATACACATATGCATATATGATATACATATTCGTTGTATATGTATGACAATCGCATAACTGCATTATACAGATTGCATGTAAAAGCATATACTCGCAAGGGCCGCAGTGAACGTGTTATGAGTACACATGTGACGACTATGGATGTTGTGCGGCTTAAATCATAAATTTAAGTTCGAGCTCGATCCTTATGTGAGTAGATAGAAGTCGTCACACCTTGAACTATCAAATAACCATACGGTCACGACATCGATCGAAATATTTGTTTAATATGTTCATATTAGGCCTTCAAGGCCTATTACAGAGCAAATTTATTGACAAAGGCACAAAGTCTACTACAAACCTAATCCACTGTCAGCAATTAGATATAGTCGACAATGTTCAACAGATAATTATAAAAATGCCCCCTAAATACCCAAATGGGCCCCGACGAACGTGTTATGAGTGCACACGTGACGTCTGAGGATGCTACGCAGGTCAAATGATAAATTTAAGTTTGAGTTTGATCCTTCTATGCGAGTAGAAAGAAGTCCACACAGTTCTAACTATCAAATAAATATATAGTCACAGCATCGACCAATATATTTGTTTTAATACGTTTATATTGGGCCTTCAAAGTCTATAACTAAGAAAATTCACTAATAAAAGCATAAAGCCAATAACGGACTCGATTCTCTGTCGGCTAGTAGACAAAGTCGGCAAGGCTCAACCAGTAAAATGAAGTTGTCTATAAAAACCCTGATCATGGCCGTATTGAATGTTTGTCTTAGCCGAAGGAGATCCTATACTTTCAGATGCCCCCAAATTTTTACAAAATACATACATTTTCAAATGACAATGATGTTACCCTGATGATGGCCGTGTTGACAGAAAATATCAATCGGAGGGGTCCTCAAACACTTCAAAATGCCTCCCAAATGCACATAAAAATTCAAAAAATTCTAGAAATCACCCCAAAATCTAAAATGTTTAAAATTGAAATAAATCACAAAAACACTTAAATAAAATCAAACCATCTACTGCAACAGCTTGCCAAGACGGACAATTTTGAAAAATTACTTTAACTCATAAAGAGCTAATGTCCGGCCGAGAATATCACTAGGACTCATTCTCAATCTGTCTATTGTCAGTGAGTGCCAGTAAGGACATGACATTGGACATCTAATCGATGGTTTGGCTAGATGGCTCCAAAAATAACTTAAGGTTTGGCTAGATGGCTCCGCGTGGTTAACGATTATGACCTCGACTCTCTAACCTAATGGCTTGGTCAAACGACTCCACTGTATTATGGTTACGGTCACAGCCCCTACGCTCTGCAATAGCTTCAAATCCTTGGGATAATGATATAATCGATAGGGCACAAAGCTCTATGTTAGCTAAGGTGGATTCAAATTTATTCCCTTAGATAAATACTCACCCCAAGTTTACAAGGTTCCCTTGAACGATGCAACCTATAGCTGCCGACAAGGATTCTTCTGTCAGGTTGGGCGACTAACTCCTCTAACTAAGTAGACCATGGACCATGATGACCCAGGACAGTTCCTTAATCGAGTCTATCATCATTCCCCCACCATCCGCTTTAAGTGCAAGGTGGTAAATTTCTAGTTTTAAATATAAAAAATTTAAATGCCCAAATCATGTTGCTACTATACAACATATACAATGTATTATCAACGTATATGTTTGATGACTAGCCTTAATTGAAAGTTCTCTCTCACTATTGGGAGGGGTACTTAACTATAGGGATTTGTGCTATAGAAAATCAGAAGTTAGATCCAAAGTCATCGTAACATGAGGGCAAAATCTCTGGGTAGTGTCTTATTTCAAACCTAATCCGCCTTCTGAAAATTTGCCTCGGAACTTGTTAAAACTTTCATCGACGACCCGAAAACGAAAAGAAAGGGGTCCGCAGAGAGGCCGAGGCTTGAATTTTTGGATCCCACATACAACTGGAGTGGTTAACCCTTGATTTTCTTAAATTCGCTCATCCAAAGAAAAATATAAATATAACAAAAAATGAGAAGAAATAGCTCCATGATAAGGTAAAACTCGATCATTTGAATAATCTAATCTTGCAACATTGTGAGGTACTCATCTTTCTCCTTATCTCTATGAAGGATCAAGGATAGATCTAGAGCTTAAAGAAAAAAAAAAGGGATAGATCTAGAGCTTAAAAAAGAAGGATAGATACTAGTGGTAATAGGAAACATTCTCTTTCTAAGGATGAAGAACATATAAAAGAACTGACCTTGAATCATCATCTTTGCTTTTATCAGATGAATATGACTAGTTACAGATTAGTAACAAAAAATTTTAAATTCCGTTCATGAAGTTATTTACCAATGATTCCCCACTGGTACTCAACTATTGTTTGATTCAAACAATGAGAAATTTCATTCAATGGGATAAGCATGGGGAAAAACTAATCACATGGCGTGACAAATGCTTAAACATTACTATATGCTAGTCCTAATAAGAAACATTCTCTCTAAGGATGAAGAACAGATAATTAGAACTGACCTAGAATCATTATCTTTGCTTTTACCAGATGAATATGACTAGTGTTATAGATTAGTAACAAAAATTTAAAAATTCTGTTTATGAAGTATTTATCAATGATACCCCACTGGCACTCAACTATTGCTTGATTAATACAATGAGGAATTTCAGTTACTGGGATAAGCAGAAGAAAAAAACTAATCAGAAAGACCAAGTTGACACCCTCCAATGAGACTGCAAAATTAACAGTTAAAATCATAAACTACCAAAATTGGCATCAATAAGAATAATAACCAGCCAGTGAAAAGAAGGTTTTCTTGGGAATACACTGGATAAGCAATAAAATGCAATAAAAGTACCTTTCAAGCTAGTGCTGGTTTGAAAGCCAACGTAAGCGTCTCTCAAGTTCTTATCACCTGAACCAACAATTTCTAAGAACTTTGTGGCGTGATTTCTCACATCCAAATAACTGCTGCAATCTCTCTCATTATTCCACCAAAACTAAAGTCAAAGATAGATCATAAAGTGATGGTCTCGATGAAATCTCAATGGTGCACAAGAGCTCTAAAGGACAGTCTTCACAAATAAACAAGAATCTTCCAACTTTAGCTCAATCTGCAGTGAGGAGATGCCCACTGAGATAGCTTCGGATAGATGTCACTTAAGCTTACAGCTTCAAGGTTAAAACCACTCAACTCTCTGATCGATGACAGAATGCATTCCTTCCTAGCTTGCTGACCAACAATGGGAGGAGCTTACGGATAATGTACGCATCTCCTCTGAATATAGGAGATGATAGGGAATTCCAGCTGGAGTCTAAGTGCCAACTCTAACATGAATCACAGGATCTCTGCTCTACATTCAACATTGCCTTGGAGCTGTAATATCATCTTGAGCTCGGGAGATTTGACTCTGAGGTGATCAGTCTACCACAAAATTTGAGAACCAGCTTTGAAAGGTGACCACCATCCTCACGCAGATTACCATGGTTTTATTTAAAGTGTACGAGGTTTGTTGGAATGGAAATTTAGCAACTGATGGAACCATTTAGATGGCATAAACTACCCAGGCATGTATGCCATTAAACACAGAAAATGCGTAATGGGACAAGCAATCATAAGAGTAATTACTAAATAAAGATTACGAGTCATGTTTTTTGCAAGAACATGTTAAATACTAGTCCTGAGAAGAGCCGGGCCATGAAGTATACAAGCAAAGAAGTATTCTCCATAATACTTCATGGAACACCAATAGATTCACCAAAATACTGGATGCAAACACCAATACCATACAGCATTACAGTTCAATGCAAGCTATAAGAATTCTTTCTACGTATATTAAGAGATGTTATGCGATAAAGAAACATCCCATTCTCCAAACAGATTGAACGTAATACAATTTTGGGATTGATTACTAACTTTGCTGGAAACCCAAGAAAACAATAATACAAACTTAACATGGTTGCAGCCAACAAAGCTGAAGATGAACAAAGCACCTCAGAAAATAAAATGTAAACCACAAAAGGCAAACCTTAGGCAGAAATCTGAGGTCTTTGCTCGATAGAACTTACAAAATTCAGAACTTCTCAGACCCTTAAAGAATACTCGAGATTGTTTACTGAGCTCATAGAATAACACAGGTGCAGGCTGGATAGCCATTCATCTCATCATCAAATTCTCCTGATTCACTGTATTATAAATGACATTTTAGTGAAATGTTATAACTAATTTTACTTCCAATATGCAAAGAACTCATCTAGTAAACCAACAAGAATAATTAAACGCTCCAATAGGAAGCACAAGAAGACTGTTTATTGATGAATAAATGCCAATGTAAATGCAGCCCACTTTGTGGGCATGCGCTGGGGAAAACTTTTCCTGGCTCAAAATACATGCATGTTTTAGAGAACAACAACATTGGAAAATTGGCTTTCAAAACCACTACAATTCTCCACACATCAGAGAGCAATGATGGTCAGGTATAACAAGAAACCAATTTCGGAGCATAAAAACTTTTTTTTTCTGGTTTTCATTAGAGTTTGGAAGAGTTTTCTCGCTGTTTTTTCAAAATTGACAGGATTTATTTGAAATCTTCGAGTGTTTCCTAACAAATTCATACATACAAAAATAAATTCTAATTTAAATTACCAACCTTCGTAGCTTCGGCTCCTCATTGTCTTTTGTACTCCTTCACCTACTTCTCAAATGCTCTCGAATTATGACTTTGTTTTTTCTGAACCAGTTGGTCTATTTATAATAAGGGGGAGAGGTAAGAATTTATAATTTTAGATTAATTAAAATAGTTAAAGTAACGATATTACACCATTATTGAATCAATTATAGCAGTATATAGGCAATAATAGATGACACCTGTCTGTTATTTTATTAACTTTATATTTAAAGTTGCTAGCCATTACCTCACATAACACTCCATATTCGACAGTATCCCAAAATTTCCATCCGAAATTAAGTAACCACCACTCAATTGCTTGCCCTGAATGCCTGAAACTCTGTGCTAACTGCCGAATTTCCATTTTCCATGTCTAGCTGAATACGTAAAGCATCTTCGTGTAATTTATGTACATTAATTTCATTATTTAATATAAAATGGAACCGTTTCATTTTTTACATTCATTAGATGTGTAAAACATTTTTACGTATTCTAAATGCGAAAAAATTCGTTATTTAATGCAAAACGGAAAATCGTTTCATTTTGCAATCATTAGATGCGTAAAACGGTTTTACATATTCTAAATGCGAAAACATTTTTCCAGATTTGTTCCTTTTCAATTTTTTCCAGTTTCCATTCCTATTACTAATTTAATTTATTACTACGCTCCTTTTAAAAATTTTCCAAAGTTAGTAAGACCACGTGAAGACTTAGATTTCCCCACCTCTAACTCTAAAGATCAAATAGAAATTGAATTCACCCAAAAGCATGCATCCTGATTAGGGGAAAAAGATTACAAGAAAGAAGGTCACGATTTGAATGTCAGACAACTAATTTTGAAAAAAAATACATTGTGAAAAAAATGAACACAATGAGAGTGTCAGACCACTAGAGTTAGAAAATCAAACCATTAAGAGTCATAGACTAAAGCATCTAAAGCAAACATATTGGTAACTACCAAACTATGGATAACCAAGGATGTATGGGGCTCCTCTTTCATTTGATACATACTTTTTGAAGTATAAGTTTAGGCTATTTTAATTGAAAAAGTCTTACTTAGAATATTTAATTCTAAAAAGATTAGAGACAATTCTAAAATAAAAAAATATGATATAAATGGATTAAATAAAAAATATGATATTAAGTAGAATATTTTGCTTCTTCATTAAGGCAACCCTTAAGCTATTAATATAAAACTATATTAAAATAGAATTAGCCCCCTTGATATTCCTCACAATAATCACTACCTCACCCTACCATAAAATTCCCAACCCTATTTCTATGTCTCTACAAAAGTTGTTGGCAATTCCATCTATTCGTTTAATTTAATCTTTAGAGGCTAGTCCATATGATAAGAGATGCCAGACCATGGCTGCAAGGTTACGGTGTCTTCTTCAACATTTGATCTCAATTGAAAAACCAAATCTCTTACCTCTTTGGAATTATCTCTGCATTTGTAGGTCTTAAATAGGAGATAAGTAGAGTTCATTGAGAGAGAAAATTCCTAAGAAACTAAAAGGATAAATATTTCCCCGAAAACAAAGTATTCTTCATCAAATCTCTTTAACTCTTTTTAAGGACAATAAATCTTGATTTCTCGAATTAGAAAAAGGATGTCTTGTTTGGAATAAGCCGAGACGCCATTTCCATTTATCATCTAAATGAATTTGGTGATTTGATCACGAATCATCTTAAATATGAATCATATGATTGTAATCAACTTAAAAAACCAAAGCATTTAAAACCTCCCTCATCTTTCCATTTATCAGAAGTCTAAAAATATGGTTTGTGCGAAGCCACTAGTACAAAAAATAGGCCAACTCAGGTTGTTTGAACCACGGTAGATAGCTAGGAACTAAAACTTTATGAATCATGCATCCATTTCCTTCAATATAAATAGAAAGTTAAACCGTGTATGAATCCCAAAACATTAAGGTCAATATATAAGTTTAATTTTATGATATTCATTTATCAAATGCTTCCAACAAACCTCAAGTATTTGGGGTAGGAATTAGAATTAAAGGAATTAATTCTATATTTAAAAAAGAGATTTGGCCAATCCCAACATGATTCACTGAACTGAAAAAAGAAAAGAGATAAAAAAATGTAGATGGCTAAGAATCATACACTGGATCAAACTCCCTGATCTCCACAAGCTCCTCCCCCAGGTCATCCATCCACTTGACGCATTCTCGGACGATATCTTTTGAAGCCGAAGAGCTCATCTTCTTCATGCTGCTCTTTAGAATAAATTCCCTTTTTCTTCCATCTACGCCATTTTCATCAATCTCGACCTTGCCATCACATAATTTCTCCTCAACAGCAAGAGAACCTGCAGAAGACTTACAAGACGTATGGTGGTCGGAATCCTCGGTTTCCAAACCTAAAGGTTGGTACTGAACCGGAGGAGTTGGCGGGGGTGGCGGTGGTCGAGGTGGTGGCACTGGCTTAGAGAAGCAATATGAAGGGCAGTGGAAAGGAGAGGTGTTCACCCTCATCAAAAAATCCCCAGCATCAAACAAATCGCAATCATTAGCAAAACCCCACCCCCGGCTTAATCTCTGGCCAATTCATCAACCACAGATCCCACTCGTTGCACTAGTTCAGAAAAAAAAACAAACCCTTGTCCTTCAATCTTTCAAAAGGAAAAGGAGAAGAGTTTGTTTCGTCGCAGGAAGGAAAAGCTCAATAGAGTTGCGAACGTGTGATGTAAGAAAAGCGGCAACCTAGAAAAAAAGATCAAAGCTTTACTTCCCTTGCTACCAATCCTGCTTAAAAAAAGACCCAAAAACCTCTTTTTGGAAATTAGGTTTCAGGTATGAATAGACGAGCTTCCAATCAATCGATCTCCACTTCAAAAAGACCAGCGCAAAATCAAACAAGTGGGCAAAACTCACCTAAAAAACGAAAGATGCCTTCTTTAGAAAGAATGGCAAATTATTGCGTCAGGTGACCGAACGCAGAGATGCCTTCGGTCTGCGCTTTACTGTAGCACTACAGTAACCTGCGCTTTACTGTAGCAGTGCTACAGTAAAGCACAGGTTATTGTAGACAGAGAGAGACCGAACGCATCTCTCTGTCAGGTGATCTGATGCAATAATTGAATTTTCTTTTCTTGCTCGAGAACTTCTGAGTTGCGAAAGGCAAGGACATCCTCCTTGGGAATCGAGATCAGCCCATTTCCTCTTGAAAGGGAAACCAAAAGAATCGTGGTGAGCCTTTAATTGTCTGCTGTGTCCTCTCATTTGTCATCTTCTTCGTGGCTGGCATAGGGTTTCACTGGGGCTGGAAAGGCTCTTTAGTCACGGCTCACCTAGTAGTTACCTATCAAGAGTAAATTAAAATAAATTTGTAGTGCTCAGCATTTAGATAACTATTTAAACTACTAATTCAGTTATTTTTAATAATTTATTTATTAAAATCGAGGAAGAGGGAGAAAGGATATGGTCATTATATATTCTGGTTATGATTAGATCAGTCTATGGATCAAATTCAAATGGAAGACTTTGACTTGATTCAAATTCAAATAGTTTTTTGATGAACACATTTTTAAAAGTGATACGTCGATTAATTTAATTAGGTGAAGAAGATGATGAGAAAAAATATTGATAACGATTGGGTTGCTGATGTGTCATTGTCGACGACGTGGCTGTTTTCGTAGCTGGGTTGGCTAGTGAGCTTGTTTAGGAGGGCGGGTTGAGCGGGTTGAGCACGTGTATAGTAAATGAGGTGGGCACAATTAAAAAGCTAAGAATAAGATAGTGGAGCCCTCACATTTGCTATGATTGTAGAGTATGGTCATATTATTAAACTTTTTATAATTAAGTTTTATGAAATTGCCTTAACTTCTATGATGCAAATGATATTTTACTGAACCTTTTAATTAAAAAGATTTTAAGTCGTCGACATAGAAAATTCATGTATCGAAATATATAGATAGTACTGATAATATGAGAGCTATTAGTTGCATTAAGTATTATAGACAAAAACAAGGCTAATATAGGACATAATGCAAAACAACTAGCCAAGGTTGAACCTATCGTTTCTTTTGATGTCTATGGGGCAACGCATATGTTCTTGGGGTTAAGTGATCTGAACGAGGAACTAGACTATCACAAAGTTCATGATGTGTCTTCGACATGATCGGTAGTATGGTCATCACTAACATGGACACTAAGATGTATAAATGGTGGGATATATGTCGAAGTGAACAGCTGAGTTGGCATTGGGGTACATTGATGTGATAAATTACTTGCATCAGATGGACCCCAATGAATCTCAGTGGTTGACCATTGCTAGTACTCAGTCTTGATACACAAACCCTCTATGGGAGAACTGCTAAATTATTGCGATGGTCCAAAGTCTGCAAGTGAAGATGGACCTATGTAGAAGTCTGAGGAGCTATCATATGTAGCTGAACTTTCTAAACTGGTGGCCACAAAATCAGATTGTTCACAGTATTGAGTATCTATAATGTATAGTTGGCTCCGGAGTGCATTGTAGATCTCTTCAAATTTGTTTATAGCTCTTTACATGTCATAACTGGAATCTTGCCCAGAAAAAAAATGTCGAAATAACTCATTAATCTCCAAGATATGCTCCCGATGTATATATAACTAATAATAACCTATAATATATATGCGATAATTAGATAAACGTTAAATAATAAGTAAGTGTTAGTGTTTACCATAAGTCATTCTGCTCAAGCCCTTGCATAGTAAGTATTAGGTGCCTGACAGGGCACCTTCAACAAGTATAACGTAGCCCATGAAGTATACCAATGCATGTACCGATTCAACGTACGATCCCCTGCATCAACTCTACTTTTGCCATACACCACTAATTCCCTTCTACCCTCTCATATAGTAACATATTGCTAATGATTTAGCAATCAATCCACGTCTGCTTTGTCTAGCCTATTTACCCTAACAAAAGTATGTTACATTGGCAATACATCCATTCTGGGAAAGTATCAGAATTAGCAAATCACTCTATCAAGAAGGTTCCATTCTACTCTTTTACAACAAATCAATGGTGCCCTAGCTATCCAAATGTACATAACTTCCAAGTATTTGCATGCTAAACAAGTACATATGGCCTATCTATACTACTCCCATTTGATATACACATTAATTGTTATGAATATCCTTCTACAAATGAGTAAACATGAAATAATTTGTTTTAGTCATACCTGAATTTGGAGTAGACCAGCAATTTCATTCCTACTCATGTCTACATTTCCTACTCGTCTTTCCTAGGCCATTCCTCAATTCCATATGTTCGAAAGATATCACATTTTGTAAGTTCATTACATTAAACAACCAAAATTAAACATAGATGGTTGAGGTTTGGTGGCAAAAAATTTTAGACCTCACTCCGATGCTGGCTCCCTCTATTGTGTATGGGATTAGAAAGTGCAGCCTAGGACGCCCCACATGTATATGCTCCCATGACAAAATTTGTAATAAATATTGTAACCAGCAATCTTCGTCATATTAGATTTTGTAGCCTCTGATAACTCTCTACACAGGTGGGCCAACACTACACTCACTAAGTAAGTACTGAACACTTCAATGACCTATAGTAATAGGAGGTATTGGAGGCGTATCTCCAATCTTGAAATATCAGGCAGTAAGAAGCAGCCAATGATGAAGAGGATGTAGGGGCGTACATGATGCCAAAAGAGCACATCATCCATTTATGTGTAACTTTTTCAATAGAATGTCCAGCGAAACCATCTTAACGGCATGCATGTTTAGGAATGAGCCTGGCCCATCCTAAAAGTTGTAGAAATTTTAGGATCAATTAGGTTATTGTACAGCACATTTGCTTCTGGATGGCCCCCTAATAGATCATCACAACAGTACGACTAACTACTCTATCAATTTCCCATTCCAACTTTTGATGGACCAATCAAAGCATCACCATCTACTTGTAAGCCCATCAGCATTGCAACATCTTGTAGTATGACTGTCATATCACTGACAACCAAATGGAATGTGTTCGTTTTGGGCACTAACACTCAACAATGCTGTTAGCAAATGATTGTCTAACTGAATGTACAATAACGGTGAAATATAATGCAAACTGGCCCTTCTAATGGCTGCCTTAAACCTTGGACAAGTGACGGGCCACTCGTGCACCATGAGCATGTGAGAATAGGGTTCCAAAACAGTTCCCTGTAGAAGTTTAGATGCAAACAAACTATAATTCTTTGTCACCCACTATGTCAATATATATATATATATATATATATATAAACATTTTTTTCTACGATACTTGATCTGGAGATGTCGGTCATAATCATGAAGATTTAACAAAAAATATGGTTGAATATATCTTTAAGCAACTAGAAAATATTGTTACAATTAAAAGTATAATGTAAAAGCATGGAACGTATTTTTGCGTTTTATCTCAACTGTGAACAATGCAATGCTAATATTTGCGTCGCACTGGACATTTGCCCATTTTGATTGAAAATAAATATAAAAACAAAAATGATAAATAATATACACAATTTTTTTTATTAGAAATAAAATTTGATTGAAGATGAATTACTATTTGATATAACTATTATTGTATTTTGAAGTGAAAAATAGATTTTTCAGTTGGAGATGCCCTTAAAAGATTTAGCAAATAATTAGTAGGTCAACCAATGCGTTCATGTCTTCTAAGCCCATGTAATGGAATAAAAGCCTATTGTTGTTATTATTGTTAATGATGATTTATCCATTAAGATTTTTTGCTTTTAGCCATTAAAATGGGATAACAAAAAATTGGAGAATATAATGAGCTGAGAGCTCCATGAAAGACATTGATCCTGAGTATAATTAATTAGATAATTTTTTTTTTGGGAATTTAATTAGATAAAATTAGCTCAAACTTACATTTATTGCAATATTGACTCGAACACAACAAGACTAGCGAATAATTATCTTGCTCCGATGACAAAGATATTATTCTATGCGACATTCAGACAGGAAAAAAACATCCAGATATATAAATGTACACATTACATACACATTTATATACAGTATATGTCAAATCAATATACACACAGTGTGTACACTCACAGTCTGGACGATTCTTTATGACTAGATATCGCACATAATAATTTCTCCAAATGAAGGGTCAAAAAACCCTAAACTTTGAATAGAGAACTTGGACCATTTGCACACAACTCCGTAGCCCTGTATTTATAAATATCACATACACAAAATTTGAATCCAAAATTTTTTAATTGGTAGTCAAAACGGCGGCCTTCTGATGACCCGGTTAGGAGAGTAGAGGTATTAGATTTGACTTATGTTAAGAAAGGTAGGGGTAGACCTAAAAAGACTTGGTTAGAAAATATTATGAATGGTCTTTCTTTAGTAGATTTAAATGAGAAATTGACTTTTAATATGACACAATAAAGAAAGAGGATTCATGTAGCCGACCCCACTTAGTGGGATAAAGGCTTAATGTTGTTGTGGTTGTTGTTTGATAGTCAAAGCAAGATGAGCTCCTGGCTCTGTGACCTCGGTACCCAGAACGAGTGCGGAGGTTCAAGCAGACTAATAAACTATTTTTAACAAGTATGAATGTCTCTCTCTCTCTCTCTCTCTTGGGGCTCGCGAATCGCTCTGGGAACGAAAGCGCGGCGCTGCTCGAGAGAAAATTTTTTCTCTCGGATTGGAGATCTTGCCGGTGGGGTTGGTTTGTGAAGGCTCTTGGGTTATGGTGGGGGGTGACCGGCGGTCACCCCCTCGTCATCCCTCGAGGAGCGGCGGAGGGAGGGAAGATGGTCGGCGGAGAAGTTCTGACGGAGGGAAGAATGTCGTTGGGGAGAGTTCTTTGGGAGTTGACGGGATTAGTAGCGGAGGGATTGGAAGTGAAAGGAGGTTTTCCTTAGCTGGATTGGGAGGACTGGCGGATATTGGAGCGGAAGGGAAAAGGCTTGTTTACGTTCGATCTCCAGGCAGATCTGGGGGTACTAGACTGTATTGTTCTGTAGCATCTGAGAAGACCACTAGACAGGAGGCTGCTTCAAGTGAAGAGCTAGATGTGGATTCGAATGCGGAGATGGTGGAAAGGGATATGTCATTGCAGGATTCGTCTGATTTGGATGAGACCATGGAAATTCTGGGTGGAAGTGAGGCTGAGGAATTTTTGAAGGAGGTTAATGATAATGCTGGATTGATGGTCCAGATGGATGCTGCGAGCTCGGGTGTACAAGGCGGTATGAATGTGAATGCAGAGCGGGTTGATTTACTGGATTCTGATGAGAGAGGATTGCCTTCCTCTATTGCACATGTGGAGGTAAGTAAAATTCTGGATAACCCAGTTTTTGAACCAGAGAACCTTCAGTTTACTTTTGGCAATGTGGGTCGCATTGTGGATTTGCATAAAGTTTCTCTAGTTCCGGAAAGTTGTGATACTGGTTTGGATGCTGATCGAATTATACCACGACTTAACTTTGGTGTTATTGGCAAAGTTGCTGAGGCGAAAACTAGGGGTGAACGTGTAGTTGCTGGTGGTAGTGACTTCCCCTACGTCCCTGGACGAACATCAGGTGTTCGGGAAAATGCTTCATCGGAAAATCCTATCACTCAGCAGACATATGGGCCTTCCAGGTCAAAATAAAAGAGAAGTTGATGAGATCAGGGAAGCAACAAATGCGTGGAGTAAGTCTATGCCTATTAAATTGGACCTGCGTGATGATGTTAGAAACTTCTTGCGGGAAGATGGGTTGGTTAAACTGGATTTGAATAAAGCAAGGGGAAATATCCAGAAACTTAACAGAGCTTTAGTTGGAAGTCTATTGGGATGTCGATTGCCTTTTTGGGTAGTGCAGGATGAGCTCCAAAGAAAGTGGGAGCACCTTGGATTGACACAAATTACACCGATGGGATCGGATTGTTTCTTATGCTGGTTTGTTGATTTAGAAGCAAGGAACAATGTTTTGGTGGGGGGGCCTTGGTATGTTGCAGGCCAAATCATAGGAATAGAACAGTGGACTACAGGTTTTTCGGCTAAATCCTCAAGAAGGTTTACATCGCCAGTTTGGATCAGGCTTCCAAACTTGCCACTAGAATACTGGGATGAGTCTAACTTAGCAAGGCTGGCTGCAGGAGTTGGTGAACCTCTGTTCATGGACGAACAAACTAAGCTGTGGAATAGGTGTGCTTTTGCGCACATATGTGTTAGGCTGGATTTGTCAAAGAAGCTTCCTAAAGGAGTGTGGGCACAAGGGTTGGGGGGGACGTTCTTCCAACCTATTGAATATGAGGGGATTCCAATTATATGTTTGAGATGTGGCAAGGTTGGACACAAAGCAGAATTATGTAAGGAAATTTGTGAACTGTCTAAACATCACGAATTGAAGGCTTCTAGTGAGCAGAAACAGAACAGTTCAGCAGGCTCAGCACTTGGCACGGTGGATGGCACCAAAGCTGGTGGAGAAGTTAAATTGGATGCTGATGCGAGCTCTTCTTGGGAGAATTCTTCGGCCATTGATAAAGACCAGGGAGAATGGACTATTGTTACTAGAAGAAGAAGACCCAACAATGCTCGGGTTGGGTACAGAACTCCTAATGTTAAAGCTAAACCTGATGCCCCGGTTACAACTCCTAAGACGGTTTGGAGGGAAGTAAATAAATCTCAGGTGGATGTAAAATTTGCTAGTAAGAATAAGGCTGAGAAGAATGATTTGGGTAAGGAACCTATTTTTAAAAATTAGGAAGATATGAATGAATTCGTTCAGTGACGCCTGAGCAACAGTTTTTCTAGAACCACAACTCAGTTGGCAAGTTCTTCTATCCAGACAATATCACAGTTCAAAAGCAAGTTCCTCACATTGAGGATTTGTTAAAATTATGTCACAGTGAACAATTAAGCAACAAATTAAGGTTTGTGTGGGACGGTTTTCTTATTGCTTCTTAAAACTGTTTTCTAGTACAAAAATTTAAATTTTTGTACAAGAAACGTAACAGTAAGAAGTAATAAGAAAATTGTCACAAACGAAGCCTAAGATTAATGCTAAGAATCTTTCTCCAATTACAGAATCACTTGTTACACACATATCAGGCATTAATAATATACAGCTCGTCCAAAGCATAGGACTATTCAACATTGCAAATAGTAAATTTGTCCATCAGTACAGCATTCTATCCATCCTCAGCCTGATTGATTGCTTTTATTTACAAATTTGATATTGAAGGATTTGATTCCAGTACTCTCATAACAAAAATGCTAAAAAGGGAAAATGTAAAGATCTTCGTGGCAAACATCCAATTAGATAGGTTTACGCAGTTCATCTTGATCTGTTGGTTGGGAGCTTTGACTGTCAACTAAAATGTCCCGGATTCGAGTCTTGCGTATGTGACGTGTGTGTGAGTTTGCCATAATTGACTTCAATGTCCCAAAAAAATTAGAAGGTTCAGTTTAGCGAAGTAAAATGGAAGAACATGTAAAAAATAGATTGGCATATATTGCATAATCGTCTATAAAAAGAGTTCAGGAGAATAAAAAAAGCATCTTTCCTTGTCCAAAACAGGAACAAATGTTTAAAACACTCCTCTGTAAGAAAGGATGATTCTTGGCTACTTGCCCCAGAAAAGAAAAACAAAAAATGGATACGACGCATCAATTTCCACATATATCTACATGTTATAAATAGACGCCGTGTTGGATGAGCGTTGACTCTGTAACTGCATGGAAGGGAAAAAAAAAACATTCATTCTTCAGTAGAAAATCTTAATATATAGTTACAGTTCAGAGGAGAAATATTTTCCATGGGAGTGGTAGGAAATACTTGAGTTCGCAAGCAACTCTAGCAATAATTGATGAAAACAGCAGAAATAATGTGAAATTCTCAATGAAATCAATTCAAAACGAAAGATAGTAGCAGTGGATTCAAAGCAAAAGCAAATACAAAGTAAGATATAATTGATTCTCAATTTGAGAGGAGGATCATTCTCTCCCAATCTCTTTCCCTCGATTTTTCAAGGAAAAAATGGTACTCTTTTAATTAATAATAACTATAAATGTGAAAACAAAAACAAAGAAAAACAATACAAACAATACAAATATTGGAAAAAAAGAAAGAAATAGAACAAAGCTCAAATGATGATAAAGAGAATCATTGGTGGAATTTCCTTCGTACAATCATTCAGGAAAATTTCTTCACCTTGTGAAGGCTGTCAGTACTAATAATAGTGAATAAAAGAGGATAAGGAGGATCTCCTCATCTAAGGCCCTTGAAACATTTGAATTGCTTACTAAATTATCTGTTGACAATAATCTAAGAATTTGCAAAAGTGAGATATTTCAAAACAAAAAAAATAAACATGGATAGGGTACTTAAAAAGGATGTTCCAATTACACATGTCAAATTCTTTTTTAAGATCCACTTGGAAGATGAATTTCCCATTTTTATTATTGAGGGTAGACTGAATAATTTCATGAGTTGTAATAATGTAATGCATAGTAACTCTTTTGGCAATGTAACCACCTTAGGAAGTATCAATCAAAGTAGGCAAAAACCCAGTGATTCTATTAATAAGAATTTTCATGAAAATTTTAAAAGCACAGTCAGGGTTCATTTGGGGCAACTTTTTTTATTATGTATTTCAGAGAAGTATCATACTCCTATTTGACAACGAATTTCTTATTGTATTTCAAAATTTTCTAAGTGGGATGCAAGTTTAGATGATCAGATCTGCTAGAGTATGATACCCATAAGAAAATTAATGTTTGACATTTTCGAAAAAGAATAAACCCATAATACCCACAACTATTTTAAAAAAATTATGCTTTCCTACAATGATTCTATGACTACTTTTACAAACAATTACACTCACCCTAAATGAGCCCTTAATAAGCTTATGGGTCTGAAGTTTTTGAGTTCATTCTCTACTTCATAGGGATAAGATAAATAATGCTAGAGCCTAGAATAACAAAGTCGTTGGCCCCTCGCTGTGTGATTCAACACTCCCCCTCAAGTTGGGTTGTACAGGTTGTGCAATCCTAACTTGAAAACAAACTTATCAAGAAGAGAGTCTGATAGTGCCTTTGTTAGAACATCGGCAAGCTATTCATGAGTTGGAGTATATACTACTTCAATTTCAGAGTTTTCTATTTTCTCAGATATAAAGTGTCTATCAATGATAACATGTTTTATTCTGTCGTGATGTACTGGACCCTTGGCTATACTGATTGTGGCTTGATTGTCACATTTCAACATTATCGTGGCTTCAATTTGTATTCCCAGTTCAATCAATACTTGCCAGACCCAAATACCTTCACAAATAGTAACTACTAATGCTCTCAGTTTAGATTCCGCATTGCTTGTAAAGACAACATATTGTTGAAATTGAAGTAGTATATACTCCAACTCATGAATAGCTTGCCGATGTTCTAACAAAGGCACTATCAATCAATACTTGATGTACTGGACCCTTGGCTATACTGATTGTGGCTTGATTGTCACATTTCAACATTATCGTGGCTTCAATTTTTATTCTCAGTTCAATCAATACTTGCCAGACCCAAATACCTTCACAAATAGTAACTACTAATGCTCTCAGTTTAGATTCCGCATTTCTTGTAAAAACAACATATTGTTTCTTGCTCCTCCATGTCACTAAGTTCCCCCACACAAATGACCAATATCCTATGGTCGATTGACTGTCAACCTGGCTTCCTGCTCAATCTGCATCAAAATAAATGATCAATTTCTTATCTTCATTTTTCTTGAATAATAGCCCCTTTCCAAGAGTATTCTTGAGATATCTCAAGATTTGAAATACTACCTCCATGTGCTCCTTCGTAGGATTACTCATATATTAGCTCACCATGCTCACATCAAACCCAATATCTAGACTGGTGTTGGAGAGGTATATAAGCTTTACTACCAAACATTGATATCTTCCTTTATATACTAGAACCCCCTCCTTTTCTATCCCAAGTTTCTTCTTAGGATGCATAGGTGAACTGGCTGATCAACATCCCAATAGGTCAATCTTCAGTATATCTAAGGTATCTTTGCGTTGGTAAACAAATATACCTTAGCTTGATCAAGCTACCTCCATACCAAGGAAGTATCGAAGTGATCCTAGATCTTTAACTTCAGACTCCTTGGATAGAGCCTATTTGATTTTCATTATCTCGTTTATATCATTTCCATTAAGGATGATGTCATCCACATATACAATCAGTACTACTATCTTGTTTCTTTCTGACTGCTTCACAAACAACGTATTATCTGCTTGGCATTGTATAAAACCATGGCATTTTACATACTTTGAGAATCTTCCAAACCATGCTCTAAGAGATTCCTTTAATTCATACAACGATTTCAATAGTTTACACACTTTGTCCCTTCCATAAGACTTTTGAATCCCCATTGGAATCTCTATGTAGACTTCTTTCAAGTTCCCATTCAAGAATGCATTCTTGATAGCTAGTTGATGTAGGGACCAATCTAAATTTGCTGTTAAGGAAAGAAGAATCATAATGTTATTGAGGTTTGCAAAATGAGCATAAGTTTCCTGATAGTCTATTCCATAAGACTGAGTGAACTCTCTTACAACAAGTCTAGCTTTCAGCCTCTCAACACTACCATTCTCCTTATGCTTTACGATAAACACCCATTTGCAGGTCACAACTTTCTTTCCTAATGGGAGATTTGTAATCACCCATGTTTGATTTTTCTCCAAGGACATAATTTCTTCTTTAGCAGCCTGTCTCCATCCTGGGTGATTCCAAGCTTCATGAATATTGGTTGGAATCTGCACATCATCTAACTTGGAAAGGAAGAATTGATAAGTGTTTTATAATCTGCTATAGGAGAGAAAGTTTTTTATTTTTTTGGCCATTTGATGACTTTATCTCCTTTTGAAATTCCTCATTTTTCTCCTCGGTATGAATCTCTACAGTTGCTGGATCCATTGAAGGAGATTTGACAGGTACAAGATGTGTCTCAATGCTCTGCATATGCTGATTTTTCTTTCTTTTCCTTGAGTATACTTATTGTTGTTCCTTAATTGCTACTCTTTGCAGGGATTGATTAGGACTTATAGGTGGAGGTAATAGGTCTGAAGGTGGAGCTTGAGACATAAGAGATATACCTTGGAAAATACTCTGGTTTGGATTTCTTGTATTATTTGTTGATTTTGACTGGACTCTATTTGGTTGTATAATAAGGAATTCCACTCCTAAGTTCGAAATTCTCCTTCACTCTCTCATTGAATTTCAGAACTAGTGAAGTATGGTTGTTTTCAAAAAAGGTGACATTCATGGTTTCAAATAACTTTCTAGAAGTAGGGCAAAAGCATTTGTAATATCTTTTTGTTGGGGAAAAGCCAATAAAAACGTATTTTTTTATCTTGGGTCAAGCTTGCTCCTATCTTGTGAATAGATCTGAACAAAAATATAGCACCAAAAAACTTTAAGTGGAAGATTTGATGATATGAACCGAGCATGAGGATAGGCTTTGAGTAGAGTTTGTCTAGCTGTTTCAAATTTTAGTATCCGAGTAAGTAACCTAGTTGTTAGGTATACAGTAGTAACAATGGCTTCCCCCATAGATATTTTGGTACTTTGTGAATAACATAATATATCTGACAACTTCCCGAAGCTACCTCATTTTATTGAGGCATAAATGCACAAGAACTCACTTGGAGTATCCCTTAACTTAATAGGTATTCTCTCATGATAGAATGACAGTACTCCCTCCCATAATTTGACTTCAAGATTTGAATTTTTGTATCAAACTAGTTTTGAATCATCAGTTGAAATGATATGAATATCCTTGCAACTTTAGATTTTTCCTTCATTAAATAAACCTAAGGGAGTTTAGTATGATTATCAACAAATATCACAAACAACCTTGCACCACTTATATTTTTAACTTTAGAGGATCCCCAAATATCACTATGGATCAAGGCAAAGGGTTTAAAAGGTTGGTAAAAAATAATTGGGTAAGATGATCTATATGTTCAGTCAATTGGCAAGTTTCATATTTGAACAAACTTGAATTTTTATTAATAAATAAATGGGGAAAAAGCTTTTCAATATACATGAAATTTGGATGATCTAACATATAACGCTACATGATAATTTCTATCTTGATTGACTCTAGAATGACTCTTAACAAACCGACTCACAATAGGATGATTCTTAACTTTGCCCGAAATTGGGACTAAGCCAACTTTAACGTCAAAGAAATTTTACACTTTCTCGCCATTATAACATGGTCATAGATTAAATTGACAAATATTATAAAATTTAATCTGATATCTTTCCATAGTTTTTTTCCTGATTGTAGCATTAGCTTGAACTTCAAATATCAAGATAACTTACAATTGAACTACATCTAAAATACAAAATTAAAATTTAGCTATCAATTTCATAAGTTGATTAATGGTTAAATTGATACCCTTTCATATCTAGTACATATTTAATATAATATTATACCTTTTTAGCTCTTCATAAATTTCTTTCTGAATTAGTTAAGCTTAAACTTTTAACAGGACTTGACATAAAGAGTGAATGGAGCTTTGTTTCAGCTTGCTCTTATAACATGGATATAGTATGGTAGTTCAGATTAAGCATTTCTGCAAATTCAAATTAGAACTGAAATCCAGTACAATTTTTTAGCCATCTTCCCCTGCAGATTAAGAGTCTGAGACTTTCTAATAAGCTATTTTAACTTGCAATTTTCTTTAAGACATATAATAGGCTTTTGTTTTTCCTTTAAGAACAAATTTTTTGGCTCCTTTATTTCAAGCATAACGTAGCACAATATAGCAATATGGGACCATGGCACTAGCACATACAGGGCAAGTCGAGATTGCATTTTGCAATTTAATCTAGCAGACTGTCTTATCGCTGTGATTCAGTTTTTCTACTTGAAATATAAGCACACATGCGTGATCATGGGCAGACCCATCTGACCTAAACAATCTAGAGAAGCTCTCATTTAGCGAGGGAATTATGAGAAAAAGCATTCCAAGAAGAAGCGTCACAAATATATTTTGTAGGATGTTTTGCATCATCACAGTAAAATAGCTCAAACCTACAAACATAAAAAATCAATGTGTTGCATTTATGCATATGGTAAATTTATTCAACTTATATGCATATGGTAACTTTATTCAACTTTTACAAGGACCTGCAGTACAGCCATTGTAGTTCCACAACGGTAATTACAAGTGTTTAAAGCATTTAAATGAATTCCCTAGGTAAGACAACAATTTGCATCAAGCCAAACTGAGAACAAAATAGCTTGAACTGACAAAACTTACGATTGTCTCCACTAGTATGGATTAAGATTGATGGGGAAAACAATGGGGACAAGTGGGGTGTTTGACAACAGATTTTCAAAACCCGAAATAAAATGCAAGGTCTACTTCCATTTAGCAGTTTGTCCTGGGAGCTAGATTTAATCTAAATCATGTGAATCTCAAAAGGTTATTAAAAAAAAAAAGCTGCAGCTACTGAATGCATCGAGTGATATGTATGAAGCATTCTCAATCTTTATTTGTAAGCCAGACTATCACAAGTAGTTTATTTGTGCTTAAAAAAAATAAATTGATCATCCAAGAAAACACCAATAATAAATGTTTACCAATAACAACAACAACAAAATCAAGCTTTTATCCCACTAAATGGGAATTATTCATTTTTTTATTCATGTTTACCAATATAATATGCACAAAGATACTAACAAACTGCATCAAATTACACGTCACTAAAAAAACTACATGACAAATTAATTAAGCGAATCCTTACCATTGCATTCACCAGTCGGAACAAATTTCTACAATATAATCAGTGAAGGCATGTGGTTGAGTAGGCATCCTTGAAGCACTGTTCATTGTGTGAACTACTCCATCAAGAAAACCAACATGCTTGAAAATTGATTAAACAACAGTGCAAGCTAATTTCAAAATTCAAAAATCATCTTTTAGGCAACGTGACCACCTTGGATGTATGGCTACAGAAGAACGGCTAAAAATATGAAATTCCGCAACAACTAAATCTCCTTCAGCTATACTAATGTCACATGCACCCTCATGACAATCATAAGTAATATCAGTACAAATATCAATACCAACTTCACAAGTAGTTACTGCAACATTCTCATCCACTTTCACTCGAAACGATAATTTTTTCAGCTGAAACTTCAGAGGTATTACTGGTGCTCACAAAACCACTGATAGAGCCAGAAACATTACAAAGAACATGTAGAACGGATTCTTTTACCACAGAATGATGCAGGCTATCATCAGTCCAGTGCAGGACACGAAACTGCATCAAATTGAGTGTTCTCATTTGTGCCCACATAGTTTGTAACCTCAGATGTGCAACAGTTTCTAGGCTTATGATCAACATGAGCAGATTTATCAGTGTTCTCAGAGATCGAAGCACTAGCATGAGATCCAATAAGATCACACATATTCTTCTCTGATGAGCAAGGAAGCCAGTTACTTTCATGAGAAGTTTCTAGCACATTCCTATCATAACAAAGTTGATGCTCAGTTAAACAAAAATGCTGGACATTCGTAGAATTGTTTTTATCATGCAATTCAACCCTAGCAAATCGATCACCTTCACCATGAAGTTCAACTTGAAATTGAAGTTGCTCAGTGTTCTCCTGCAAGGTAAGTTGATGGGTAGTCTCAATACCATCAGAAGATCCAGATACTTTGCTGCTGACCAAGGAAGAAGCCGGGCCATTTTTAGCAGAACAAGCATTTAAATGTCTTTCAACACCAACAGAAATGTTAACATCCTCTTCATTCACATGAGTTTTCAGATCAACAATGCCAGGCACGGGTTTTACCATGTTATTAACAGAAACTATAGCTTTAGCTCCATCTGCATGCGTTTCAACAGTATCAATAAATGGATTGGACAGTTTCAAATCATCATCTGAGCATTGCAGTTGGATTGGAACATCAACAGCCTGATCCGTAGTAGCAAGATTGTCTTGAACCATACAAACAACAGACAACTGAGAATCGCACATTTCTGGAGATGAACTAGTTATGTTTGTATCTGGACGAGACTCCAAGGAGCCAGCTGAAATGCCTTGCCAATTGCCAAAAGAATTACATTTTGGAACCATTACAACACTAGGTGTTACACATGGCTCCTGCAAATTATGTGGAATAGTATTACAACTAGAAAGAGGATTAGATTCACTGTTTTCTCCTGCAAGCCCAACACTGGAAGCAATGTCAGTTTTAGCGCTGTAATTAACTTCATAATCACATCGCAGAACAATGACATCATTAGCAACAGCAGAAGATATTTCATCAGTAACCTCAATTTTTTTCCTAGTAGCATCATTCATCAAGCCACTAAGAGGCTCAATTATAGGTTTACTTGTTACATCCAGTGGAAGCTTGTCATCTTCCAAAGGATTATTGCCAGAAACAATCCTAACAGGAGATAATATCAAATTTAATGGATTTTCTTGAGACCTGCATCCTGAAGGTCGAGATATAGAAGCATCTGCTAAAAGCTCAGAATCAGAGTTGTGACTTGAAAACACTGTGGTTTTCACATTTTCCATCTCATGATTAGGTTCTTCAATAAAAACAGTCTGCTTCTCTGAAAAACCCACTTGCGATTCTTTTTCAGTGACTGAGCTACCACCATAAACATTTTTAACAATATTTAACTTGGCATCGGCTGTACTATCAGAAGACCAGCATTCTCGTGCATGCGATCCAGATGCATCTGCTGAAAAATTAGGAGTAGGGTGCCCCAAAGCAGGGATAGCAATTTCTGCACCTTCTTCCTGACATGTCGATACTTTAGTACAGAGAACCTCAACAGCTGAACCATTGAGGTCTTCCACAACTGACAGCTGGGCCTCAGATTTGTTTCCTTCAAAAGAATCATGAGGAATCAGCTCAGATTCTAGCTTGGCAGCTAAAAAAAAGATTGAAAGTGATGCCAAGGAAGATAAGTTGCTTATTGTTTACCTTGCTCAGGAATTGTACGTTGCAAAGTTGACTCTTTCTTAATCAATGACTTTTGTAGCAGACCAACGCCAGGGAAAACCAACATATTCACACACTTAATTTCTTCTTTTTGTGAAATGTCAAGCGGCTTAAAACCAAAAACAGTAGTCCAGGTGTCTGTTAACTCAGATATTGCAGGTATTACCAACATTTTTGTACCAAAAGAGGACAGCGCCTGAATATCAGACAGGAAAAAAATATTCTCAAAACAAGTCAAAATTCAGGAATAGTTCATGTTAAGACAATTAATATTAAAGCTGTACATTGATGCATAAATTATTAAAATATTGGTTGCAGATCAAGTACAATAATTATCAATAAAGATAGCACAAAACTTTCTCTCTTCAAAATCATATCAATTCATTTGTGAATTGCACTTTGGCCCCTATACAATAATACGATGTGCTATCTGGTCCTCAATTATCCCTACGGTGCATTTAAATCTATCAGTTCTCAAAAAGTGTCCAGTTACGCCCTTATTCTTTGGATACCATCTAAAATTGCCAGTCAAATACATCAACGCTGACTGTGCAAACTCATAAGTCATATCAGGTTTTAATAATCAAGGTGTCCCTCATTGACATCTTAAGCCAGGACGCTGCAAGATATCAAGCAGGAGGAACTCTGGTAATTCATTTTCAAGAGCTTCCACTATACAGACTTCATCAATTCCAGTAATTCCATCAGCTAGATGAAAATATCCAGCAACTTTATTACCTCCAGCGTCTGCTGCATGTGTCACTTTCCTTTGTTGCCACTGAGGATTTCCCCCCACATGCCCACAACCTCGCCCTCACCAAGATCTGCAGCACTGCTAGAAGTAACATCACAACTTCCAAGGTGAGATGCTTCTTGAAACTCCCAGCTGCCACCATAATGCGGGGGAGAAGCACCTCACAATTTTCATCCATTATCAGTGTTATGAATCTCAAAATATGAAGTCAAATTCCTTTCATCATAATTAGTCTGAATTTTGAAATTTGCAATAATCAATTTTGATTTTTTGGTTGTAATCAATAAATTGTGTCAGTTGGAGTTTCTTATTCCACCATTCTCCTCTTGATTTATGATGCTAGCAGTTCTATTGCTATATATTTTACTAGTCATTTCGACAATCCCACAACCATCTTTCTCTAATTATTTGTGAATCGACACTAAAATTCCATCCATTGACTCTTCAACTTATCTGGAACCTATGCCTAGCAGCTGCCAATTCTAGCAAGCTGCACCAATGGTTGCAACCATAGTCTAGCAGGTTATAGCTTATATGCAGGATTCTTGGTTTCCACTATCAGCAGCTTCTTCTTTCCGCTAGCAATTTCTTTCATGGACTATTTCTTAAGGCGGCTCTCTCTAATCTTATCTGTCACTGGAGCTACTCCAACCTTTTCACGGATATGCTCATTATGCATCCTATCTCTAAGAGTAAATCCACTCATCCACCTGAGCATCCTCGTCTCAGCAACACCTAACTTAATATTATGCTTCTCTTTTAATGGCTAACATTCTGCAACATAAAGCATAGCAGATCTCAACACCATCTTATAAAATTTTTCCTTAAGTTTGAGTGGTACTTTTCAATCACATAACAAACCCAAAGCATTCCTCCACTTCAACCATCCTACTTCAATTCTATTAATGATATCTCCATCTATTTCACCATTATAATAGATCCAAGATATCTAAAACAAGTACACTAATTAATGACTTGATAGCTCAAATTCACAAACCCACCATTATAGCTATTACTACTAAAATTATAATCCAAGTATTCGGTTTTTAGATCTACTCAAACGAAAACTTTTATATTCAAAGGTTGACCTCCATAATTCGAGTTTACCATCAACTCCCTCCCTAGTCTTATCAAAAAGAAGAATATCATCAGCAAAAAGCATACACCAAGGTACATCCTCTTGCAAATGTCTATTAAGAACATCCATGACTAAAGCCAAAAGATAAGGGCTTAAGGCTGATCCTTGATGCAATCCAACTGAAATAGGAAAATGCTTGGTCAAACCACCTTATGTTTGAACACAAGTAACAGCTCATGCATACATATCCCTAATGACTTGAATATAAGCATTATTAACACCTTTCTTTTCTAGAACTCTCCATAGCACTTATCTTGAAACTTTATCATATTCTTCCTCTAAATCAATAAATATCATATGTGGATCCTCCTTATTATCTCTAAACTTCTCCATCAACCATCTCAATGAATGAATAGCTTCCACAGTAGACCTTTCCAGCATGAATCCAAATTTATCTTGAGAAACATTCGTATCACGTCGTAACCTATGCTCCATAACTCTCTCCCAAAGTTTTAAAGTATGACACATTAACTAGTAAAAATAGCATTCAACACAAACTGGAATACTTTTTTTTTTTTTTTAAAGTAAGCTTCAATACACTTATTGAAACAAAAAACTGACTCATTAAACCAGGTTCCTGGGGATGGCATAACTTACTTTAAGATCAAAATATTTAGCAAGTCACTTGTTTTATCTGTATTGTCCAATATTACCTCATTACGTTGTGCTATTTTTTGGTTGGTCTTTGGCAAAAAAAGCCAGAGAAGTTCAGGCCACATCAGCACCAATTCATACGGTCTATTGTGCAAGTGCATCAAGTATCATGTATTGATAGATTTACAAGTATCCATAGAAATAGGGAGTCGGGGATTTAAGAAAAAGGGGCATACAGATTCAATTCCTTCAAGAAGTCGACGACACATTCCTTGGCGCCTATACATATTCCTTGTCCCAATGAAAGGCATTTCAGCCAGCCTTGTCCCATGTATTCTGTTAGGAGAAAAAAAGTAATCATCGGATAATTCAATATTTTAAACCACTTAATTGATAAGAAAAGAAAAAAAATGAAAATAGATAAATAATTACCTGATAGATGCGGCACAAATAATCTCATCACTTCGTTCCAAAATAAAAGTATAAAATCCACTATAATTAAGCCGATTGAAGTTCGATCTGTGAAACATGTGAAAATTGCTAAATTCCCATAACCAGCCAAAAAAAGCATAGGAACAACTTTCAATAGCTTAAATAATTGAACAAAAAGAAAGGATTAAAAAAGGATGACTCCATAGTAATTTAAACAAGAAAATTATAACAAAACTCCATGAATATGATCAACTATAAATCTTCACAAAACTGAAACAGCAAGCTGTCAATCGTCAATCCTTCAAGCATTAAGAGTGATATAGATTGCCAATAATCCAATCATTTGAATGTTATGATGTATGTCCTTGAAAAAGTAAATTCAAAAGATACCCCCTCCACTTACTATCATGTACAAGTGCATGCTTATCTTGATGAAACATTGTCAATCAGATTGATGCCAAACTGACTTTAAAAAATAACTAACAAAATAAATAAAAACTGACACTTACCGGCAGTTATACACAACATTGTCAATCAGATTGATGCCGCTTCTATGATCAGTGATAGGCAAAAAACATTCATCAATAACAGCATGAGCAACAGCAATTTTGGAGTTGCTTTCAACCCTTTTAGCAAATTTAGATGGAGATTGAGACGGATCATCAAAGCGCCGAATGATGCTCCAAGAATATCCAGCTTCCAACTCATTTTTTACTGCAATAAGCTTTTGCAACTTTCTGAACACCTAAAGAAATGACAATATTTGGATTCATTTTCGGTCATGTTAAAGTTTGAGATGACTCGAAAGCTGGCATGCAACCAATCAATTTGCTATGTTACTTTTAAGAAAAAATACCTACCAAGCCCATACATGGAATTTCCACTAATTTCAGTAAAAGAAATGTTCTACCACTATGACTTATGATCTTAGTTCATCAATGCAACACAAATATATTAATAATTATCATGGCCTTGACGTCAATGTCACTTAAGCATTAACACCATGCTTATGTGGCATGAAAGGTATGTTAAATTCCAAAAAGAGCAAGTGGATGCCTCAATAGCAGTGTCCTGCTAAAAAATTCAAAACAATAGTAGTACATTTCCAAAAATGGCAACTAAAAAATGGTGGGAAATGGTAAATTAGTTATTCAACATTTTGTCTATTATATTTTAGTTTTCTTGCTGACCTTTGCATCATATATAATACCCAAAGTTACACATTAGTTTTTAGGGGAATTTAAATGCGTATGAAAAATTCTAATGTCCTTACACATATAACATCTAAATATTTATATTTATTTATATAACACCCTTGTATCTAAATCACAGCAAAACAAATGCATGTAAAAGTGCATTGCGCTTTAGATAAATTCATATTAATAGTATTTTTATGTGATTTAAAGAATAAGATACTATTAAAAATGTAAAATAAAATAAAAAAAATTATGTGATAGATATGTAAATATATAATAATTTTATGGTGGTACATAAATCCACCTAGCCAGTCTCTACTTAACAAAATGCTGCCTACCGTGTTCATGATGCATAGCTCATCTTTTTTCTCCGCATAAATAAAAAAAAGCTTGCCACCAAAAATATATAAGATATTTTGAAATATATTAAAAATATATATCAGTTCACAATAAAAAATGATAAAATATATTCAAACTAAAAAAGGCTCTGGAAATTAGAACATTATATATATTAATTTTACCTTTCGGCAACTTTTCCCACAAAATAGATTGGATGAACCGTTGGGTGTAGCAGAAACAGCATCCTTCTCAGCAACACACTCTTCATGATCTACAGAGAGTACGTGAAAGCAAGTAGGCAATTAAACTATAACTTTATAATCACTCACTGCTACTTTTTTTTTTTTTTAAAAAGAGCGATTTAATACAAAATGTTCTGATGAGATTGACAGAAACACTTACATTTCTCCTCGCACTGGGAGCATGTGAATAATGTAGACACACTTTTACACGGAGAGGCAGAACTATGAAGCATGCCACAGAATTTACACGAACAACTTTTACAATGCCAATCACCAAGAGGAAGCGTCTGCATAGAGAAAGACCTGTACTTAAAACAGCTATACAATAGAGCAGGCATACAGTCATCAGGGCAATAAAGAGTTCAATATGCACATCTTCGTCCACAATAAATGTTTAACACAAAAACATCAAATCAAACTCACCACAACCAAACCAACTAACAGAAAAGGCTCTGAATGATACAAAAAACACCATAAAAAAACCTCCTTTTTCCTTCCAGCACAACAACAGAGCTAAAATTGAGAAGGCAGGCAAAAAAGAAAGGGAGGGACCGGCTTCTGAAAATGGTTAATTAATCAGAACCTTGTATTTGTGGTAAAGGGAAGTCGCCACATATGGCCTGTAAAATATAATGAAAGTAAAAAAAAAAAACAAGATGCAAAGGGAAGTCTGCCTTGGCCTGTATGCAATCTAATGATTTGCTTACATGTCATAATAAAATTAACTTTTCAACAGTTAACAATAAAGATATTTCCCCACCTGAAGGTTTAAGCAGCTGAGATGGAAAGTTGAAGGACAGCCATCACAGCAAATTAAGTCGCCACCATCACCACATATGGCGCAGGTATCATCATTTGGGTCGTTCCCATCAGTGTCTATTTTATAGAAACCACGTCTTTTATGCTCTTCTTGCTTTGCCCATGCATTTACTTGACACTGCAAAAGGGAGTATCCAGACACCTCCACTAATGTGTTCTCATAAGGCTGATTTAGCTTGCTGCCCGCATGAATCTCAAACTTTGGTACTGTGAGAATTTTACTGCAGCAACTGCAATGAATACCATCTCTTGTAATCCGTCCCTCAAGCAATGTCTTGTTCTTACTTTTGTGCATATACCTAACCTTCGCATAAACAGGTAATACGCCCATATCTATCATCCAAGAGAGAACTGTTCTTTTCCAAACATAATGAGCATAATCACTCTTTTCTGATTCTTCATATTGGTTAGAACCATGAGCCAAGAGAGAACAACCGCTTCTCCTTCTGTTTCTAGCTATTAGTTGCATTTTCTTAGCCGAGGGCCCATCAAGCAATATACTCTTGCTTTGCCTCTTCCTGACCCTGTTTTCTCTAACAACATAGCTAGATTCATTATCTCCAGAGCAACTTACTCTGACGGTTTCCTTGGCCTTTTTGGTTCTGCTAATACCAACCTTTTGTTTAACTTTTATTGCTTCTTTCTTCAGTTTTCTTTTATTAACCACATTCCTTTTCAATAAAATTAAGACTTCAGGAGCTATGGCAGCTCCAGAATTAGGTTTAGACTGCTTTGTAGGACCTTCGTTGTCATCAAATGTACTGTTAAACTGCTTTCTGTAGACATCATAGGCTTTTGTAATTGACCAATACCCTGTTCCTTGAGGGGAAACATACACAGCATCTTCATAATCCCTGCCCTTTCTGGGTCTTAATTCAATAGTCCACCCAGCATCCAAAAGAAGAGTTTTAATTTGCTCCCTGACTTTCCTTTTAACTTCATTACGACTTGCATTTGATTCTTTTGCACCACGTTTAACTGTAGGAGAGCTTCTAGAAGCACTCTCTCCTTTGGCTGCAGAGCTAATTTTGTTATGCATCGAATGCACACTTTTAGAACCTGTGTGTTGAGATGGGCTATCTGGTTTTGTTTTAACAACCTTTATGTTGCTTCTTCCTTCTGTAGAAACTGTTCCAGTATTTTTACCCAACTTGATCAAGAACTTTGATTTCTCAGGACGGTGTCTTTCAACTTGGTCATTTGATCTACTCAACTTCTCCGTATTTGAAGATGTCAGCCCCGTAGCGTGACCTTCAATGTCACCTCGAACAGTCTCATTCCCAGAGACACCCACCTTATTACCATGCAAAACCCTCAAAACACCACTCTTACCTTTCACCCTAACGTACTCATGTGGTGATCTTCCACCATTCTTCTCAATTTTTCCATCAACCCCAGCAACTCTATTATCCATTCGCTTCTGAAACTTTCTCTGATCCGATTGCTCAATGGACCTTATATTTTCAGCCTCTCTCTTTATGCTCTTATTTGGATTGACATGAAATTTTCTTTCCATGGAGTTGTCGATGCCCCTCTGTTTAGCCTCTCTAGTTGTCAATCTCGAACCCTCCAAGATACCCTTGACACCATCCTTACTATAACCCCTGTGTTTCATAGAGTCCAACATTTTATTACTGCCTCCAGTCTTCAGAACAGTGTTACCAACAAGCTCTGGTTTTGTTTTCCTTTTACTAACTTCTGCATCACCAGTCTCCATGACCCTCTTTGGATCAGAACCAAATTCGGAAAACTTCTCCTTATTGGAGGCACGATGAATATGCGTATCCCTATGTTTCAAGCTCAAACGCTTATTACTTGACCAAGATTTCTCTGTTTGCTTGTTAGCACAATCCTCTGAATCTAACTTCATTTTCTTTTTAATTACTTTCACGTCATCTGCCTCCCTACTCTTCCTAACCAACCTCAGCTCCAAAGCTTTCGCTTTGCTCTCCTCAATGCCCAGTTTCGGACCAGGAATATCAACTTTCGTCTCAATTTCCTCCTTTACTCCACAAATCTCCTCCTTTCCGCTTCCACTACAGCCGGGGGCGCCATTGACAGCCTCATCTGCCTTCAATGGTTTAGAAGTTACATACCCATCCGTCTCCGAGTCGCTGCTCAGCACAAGCCGTCGCTTCCTCTCCTTTTTAGGTTCCAAAACCTTAGACCCGCCCGTAGAATTCTTCTCCTTCTCCATAACGTATTTCCAAATCCCCAAACAAAACCGGCGTTTTAATTAAGAACTCATACCCCACCAATCCTATTCCAAAATAACAAGGAAAACAAACCCTAAATCAAATAGAGAAGAGGAAAACCAACAAAGACGAATGACTTTTTGGGGATCAAAAGAATTCGGCATACCTGGAACAAGGGCAATCACCCGCAAGATATATAAAAGAGATGAATTGACGAAGAGAGACGAAAAGAATCAAAACTCAAACCCCGAGGAATCGATCAATTTGGCAAGAGATTTTAGTGTTCACATTTGGTATTTCGAAATCTCCTCTTGCGTGCCTATCTGTTGTTTCTGCAATTGCCTATCTCCTCCGCCGCGGGCTCGCGATCTTGTTCCAAATTGCCTGGTTGCTCTGATTTGGGTTGCTGGTATCTTTTATTGGACTTGACCCGGTCATTTGAATTTTCAGCCGCTGTTATAATTACAGGGCATGTCGCTAAATTTTTTATTTTTTATTTTCAAAAATAATATTTACATTAGAAAATGTATTTAACCAAGTATTTAAAAATATAGAAGTTTGTGTAATTTATAATTTTCTTAAAATAACATATGAGATTTTTCACTTATTTTTTAAAGGATATTATGAAAATAAATGATAAATATATGTATAAACTTATTTTATTTTATAAAAATAAAAATAAAATAAAATAACCAATCAAAATATATTTTGAGTATTTCCATATTTATTCAAAAAAATTACTAGTGTTTCCAACAAGATTATATCTCAACTTTCATTTTTGATTATTAAATCTTAGTCTTTTATTTTTTTATCTTATTTTTATATATAGCATTTAAATCAATCAATCATGAATGAATGATCTACCTTAAAATTAGTAGATACTTAAAGGTGTCAAAAATATAAATGATTAGATATCATAAGTAAAAATAATCATGAATGAATATAAAGAGAGAAAGAAATGAAAAGAATAATCAAGAGAAAATAATTAAGCAATAAACTAAGATCACATAATATTAAGAGAGATAATACTATAATAGGAAGAGAAAAATTGGAATAAAATATGCTAGTAACAAATCAATACCACACCATTGCTTCTACTACTTCACAAGTCACAACCCTTATAATAATCCAAATTTTTTTGAAATGATTTTTTTTTTAGATAAAAAAATCTGATTTTCAACGTGTGTCTTGTCGAAGAAGAGAGGGAATGGAGAAAAGTTTGTTTTGGGCTTTTTTATCTGTCATTTATGTTTAAAGATTTCTTCTATTTATTCTAAGTAACTCAAATCTCATTTTAACTTTCAATGATTTTAATTATTTTTATAAATTTTCTTGTATTAATCAAAATTGATTTATTTCCTACTGCATTTTGATTGTGTCGTTTGAATAAGCGAGAAATGCTAGCTATTGATGCAGAGCATCTTAACTAAATTTTTCCTTAGACATATATTAATTAGTTTGTTATGAGTTTGTTACAAGTTTCTAGAACTTTCTAGGTTTCTCTAGGTGCCTTTTGCTAGCTTATAAATATAATAGTTGTATGAAGGAATTATGAATGAATTAGTATTTTTGGAATTTGAAACAGTTTTCACTGTTTTTGGTCTCCAATAGATGTTTAGCTCTTCTCCTTCTTCTCCATCATGCTTCTTTGGTGATTCTCCCCACATCAGCTATTAACACTATAAAATGGGTTTACTGTTAAAACATAATACCCTATGCATGAGGGTGGGCTGACTGGCTTTCTTTTAAAGATGATTTGTGATGTTATCCCGGTTGTAGCCTATAACAGATGAACAATTATATTGACGGACAGAGAGTAATGACTCTTTATTGATTTAATAAAGCCGCTTATAATAATAATTTATTAATTGAAAAAGTACTAATTGATATGACTGATGACTAACTAGAAATTAGTTGGGGGAAAAGATGTGGAGCATCAATGCAAATTTTGGAACATCAAATGTCTCTCATCAATTCAAAATCATTCAAATGGGATTAATCTATTTATCAACAAAGAAATCTTAGAGCTTCATAATAAAAATTATAAATCTTGGGTGTCACTCATAGCTATGTCTCTCAAAAGAAAATTTTTGGCCATTTTTTGAAGTGAAGTTATAGTCTACAACAAAATTATGATCTCTATTCAAACATAATAATGCATTTATAGGGTTTTGTGGAGGGAAATAATATTTAAATTTTTTTGGAGATTTTTAATATATGTTGAATTTTTTTTTAAGATTTTAAATTTATGTAGTCAAACTTTATTAAAAAAAATTAAATTCAAAAGTAAAAAAGAAGAAAATTTAAAATTAAAAGCGATGAAATTTTCGCTTGCCACATGTCTATAAATTGCGAACTATATGCACTAGCTTCATTGGCTGATCGACCAATGAATTGACTGGTTTGTTTGTAGTTATGTGGACCTATTTTTGAGCTCAAACATACCTTTATATGCATTTTTTTAACCATATGGCTTTTTTTTATTATTATTTTATAAAATGTACTCAAATTTGACACATTCAAGCCCAATAAGAAGTCGAAGAGTTATTCTGTGCGGAGCACGGAGGGCGTCCGGAGACCAATAAAAATGCACCACGTCATTCCATTGGTGGGTATCCATCTCGGTACCCGCACTCGGTACAACTGGGTACCCAGTGCTTAACCAGACGATTCTCCCGTCCGATCTCCGTACAGAATAAAAGCTCCAATAAGTCTCTTGCAGGTAATATTTTATATCATTTTAAATAATTTTAAGCAAAGCGATTTTAGAAAACCTCCTGAAGCACTTTCTTGTAACCTACATCTCAAAAGACTTGATGACTCTTCTAAAAGGTGAAATTATGATCAAACTAATTCATCGCCATAAAATGCATATGACTAAGCACACATTTTGAAATAATTATTAGATATAAAGCACCCAAATATTTTGGCTAAAACTTTAGAGATTGATTTTAAAACCATCCAAACTCCCTTTTCATCAAACTTAAGATCATAATTTAGTGAGATAAATATAACCATGCAAACAACACCATGATTTTATTCTAAATGGTCTATGCCAAACACTCAAAAGTATAATTTGAAAATTTTTAAGGTTATTTAAGAGTTCAAATTCCCTCAAGCTTTTGTGTGATAAAATTTCAGATGACAGTCTTGGTTAGATGAATCTAACAAGTATAATACAACTAAAGTGTAAGTTTATTAAAGTACCAAGAAATCTTTAAAATAATAAATGACCTCAAAGGTGCTGCCAAAGTAAGAAACTCCTCCTCCGATAAAAACAACGAGAATTCAAATGGCCATTCAAAAAGTTCGGATCAATCACTCAATTTACATCCATTCTAGGTAGTCGGCTGGAGGAGGACAAATCGGGAAGCCGGCTAAAAAAACATATAGAAATTAAGAGACAATGAAGAGAAATGAAGGAAAACTTCCCTGACTGCGAAATTGAGAAACTCCACGACGGGCAGAGACACCACGCAGGGGCGAGAGAAACCCTAGCAAAGACGAAATCAGAGCAAAGCCTCAAAAAAATCATGTTTTAATTAAACTCTCTAATGATTTTGACAATAATAGGATTTTTTGTCACTGATCGTATTATGTTTCAAACTGCTTTATAAAGCTGATTAAATGGTCACCTTTGTTTTATATTGTTGTAAAATCATCTATTATTGCTATTTGGATTTCATTCCTCGATTTGAGGCCCAATTTATTTTCACCTAGGATTCTTTATGGCTTAAGGTCCCTTCTTGGGTGTCCTCTTAAAACTGATAATACTGATGCTTGCGATACTTGACCCTCTGTTGCTACTTGTTAGAGTCCTAGTGGAACTTGATATCACTAAGCAACTACCCAAACTTTGAATGGCTTGGTCCAGAAATGTTTGGAGATGTGCAAAAAGTTGTGATGGAAGAGTTCCCTCTCTTTTTTGAGCATTATAAAATATTGAGTCACATTAAAAATGAATACTATTTTCTTCATCACCATTTGAGGAAGAAAATTAATGATTTTTTTTTTTCAGTTGCTAATGTTCCTATCGGAAATAAGATTATTGCCCAAGATCCTATATCGAATGAAAATAATCATTTTGTTATTCCTAATAGTATTAACAATTACAAGGATGGTCGGAATGAGAGTATTGGAGTTAATCCTAATGTCACAATTGCTCTATTAAATAATATTTCTTCTGAGTTTCAGGTTGAGTCAAACAATTCCTCTAAAGATACGTAGTTTATGAAAATAGCATCATTGAGCATTATGAGAATACTTTGCATAATGACATTATTTGTTTTGAAAGAATAACGGGGATCAAAATATATCTGTGGTTTCTATTGTTATGGTCAATGCTTTGGAAGCTTCTAAACCTTCCAATAATTTAGATGTTTCTAATATGTTACCTATTATTTCTATTCATATTCCTTCAATTTGTGCGGTTGAAATATCCTATGTTGAATTATGACGAAAATTCCCCTTTCATAAATACTAATTGGGAAGAAGGAGAAATTCAATCCTTTGATGAATTTTTTTATAATCAACTAGAAACTGATGTGAAATCGAAGGATTTACTTGCATCATCATATGATTTTTATGTGGTTACTAAAAAATTGCTTTACGAAATAGTAAAAATGTCTTCCCAAACAAAATCTTTGCGTGCAAAAGTGTATATTTTCTTATAATTAGTATACCCTGAATGAATATTATAGATATTCTTTCCGATCGATCTCTAAGCAAAATACAATACACATGATTGCTTTTACCTTTTCATTCTCACTTAGATTTGTTAGGATGAAAAAAATTCCTAAACACTTAAGAAATTTTTTAAAAAATCTTCAAATAATATTAAATCATTCAAATACTAGTAACAAATCTAAATCCAATTCGAACTTCAGTAAAATAATAATTAAATTATCTCAAGGTTTTATAGGAGCTTTTCCCGGTCATCCCTACCAGTATATATATATATATATATATGTATTTAAAGGAAAGAAAATTCATTAGAAAATGTAGTGATACAAGAAGAGACCATAAACAACACAGGGCACAAGCTGAAGACAAATACAAAAAGCTGAAAAAGACAACACAAAGGGAGAGCAAAAATCAAAAGATAGAGGACTCAAGCCGCCACCTGGTTGCCAGGGTTGGGCCGTCCAAGAGAGTCAAGGTTGCAACCAAGCCATGGCCATCCGAGGGGCATCATCATCTTCCACAAAAATCAAATCAACCCCAAAAAGAGATCAGCTCTTTTTGGAATTACGAGCTCTATGTTTGACACTTCATTTAAGAAATTTCGGTCGAGAAGCCAAGTAATCCTCATAAAAATCTTCACCATCAGCTGAGGAATTGTCAGCATGTAACCATGCATTCACCCCGAACCACCTCACTATCCCTCGAAATATGAGTATGCAATTCATCCTTCAAAACAAA